CAGCTGGCTTGGAGATTTAAGGCTGCTCTAAATAATAAGATCATTATCATATTTTAAAACGTATTGAAATTATAAATATGTAATGAGTACCGATTTTTACTATTTATATGTGAATATTTGACATTAAATTCATATGGTTTTGGATTAATTTGAAGCTAAGTATGTGCTTATTTGATTTATGTGTCATTTAGGTGATTTTGGAGGCGTTGATTGTAAAGTCATACAAATTGGATCTCATTTTGATATATTTTGAAGTCAGATTAGCATAAAGATGCATTCTGATAGATGTTGATGCCCAAAAAGACAAAGAGATTGAATTGAAAACTAGCACCACGGCATATCCTGATGATCCAAAATAATAAGAAAAAGTGAGAAAATTTGATTTTGTTTAGATTAAACTCTTTTACATGTGGTCGCACCTCATACAGTCATATTCAGTAAAAAAAAGTCCGTCAAGTGGTGTTTAGGTATTTTGGTCATATCTCAGCATAAAGCCATAAAATATTGAGTGAGTCAAGTGTCATTGAAAAGATAATTCAAAGATTTACAAATTTCATGATGACTATGAAGTCAAATAAAAAAGATAACAATGTTAAAAATAGCTTGAAAGTCATAATTGATGCATAAAGTTATACTCTACCAGTTATGGCCGCGACTACCCAAACTTCATAGTGTATATTGTGTTTCCCACGACCTTAGCCTTGAGCATGGTTGTGGGGGTGGGTGACACAACTTTCTTATGATTGACATAATTTTTAAGTGTATAAATAAATAAATAAATAATATAATGGGTGTTATTTTTAAATCACATGTCAATTTCCTTCCCCCCTCTAAGCTTTCTAGGCAAAAGCTATCCCATATTTAGGGAAAATTCAAGTATGAAATTACAATTCAAGTTCATATTCAAATACTTTCAAGTTTGTAACATTAATTTTTTTTACTTCAAAATTAAGTCTTTCAATTCCTCGCAATTCTAGCTCTCAGTTGATGAGATAAGTGTTCTGTATTCAATTGACAATAGAATAGGAGATTACAATAGTAAAGGTAATTAGGTAACGTAAAGCATTCCTAACTATTATGTTAGCCACATGAGGCTTAACCATTTACAACATTATTATTATTATAAAATATAACAAGATAATAATAATAATGAATGACCATATTACTAACACACCCCCTCAAGCACAAGGGTGGTGTGCAACCACATTGAGATTGTCCCTCCGAGCCGAAAAACGAGGTCCTGGCAATGGCTTCGTGAAGATATTTGCCAGTTGATCTTTAGTAGATACAAAGTTAACGACGAAGTCCCCAAACGCAACCTTGTCACGAACAAAGTATAAGTCAATCTCTACATGCTTAGTCCTGGCATGAAAACCTGGATTGGCGCAGAGATAAGTTGCCCCCAAATTATCACACCACAAATTAGCAGGTTCACCAGAATGAAGATCGAGCTCACGTAACAACGACACAACCCACGTGACCTCGGCCGCGACATCAGCTATGGCCTTATATTCAGCTTCAGTTGATGAGCAAGCCACCGTGCGCTGCTTACGGGACACCTAGGAGATGAGATTGGTCCCCAAGAAAATAGCATACCCACTCGTGCTCTTCCTGTCTATTGGGCAACCGGCACAATCGGAGTCCGAGAAAGCATGGATAGCTGACGAAGATGAGGCGGACAGTTGTAGACCAAAGTGTAGAGTGCCTTTGATGTAGCGAAGAACACGCTTTAGAAGACCCCAGTGTTCATTGGTTGGAGAATGCATGAATTGACACAAGCGGTTGACAGTATATGAGAGATCTGGGCGCGTGATAGTCAAGTACTGTAGAGCCCCCACTAGACGGCGGTACTGCGTGGGATTCTCAAAGGGATGATCAGAAGGAGAAACAACTTGACTGACAACAGCTGGAGTAGCTAAGGGTTTGCAATCAGTCATGCCTGCACGAGTGAGAATGTCGCCCATATAACGACTCTGAGAGAGCATTATACCGATATTCACTACAAGTGTTTCAATGGCAAGGAAGAATCCTGGTGTACCGAGGTCACGAATCTTGAAAGTAGCGGAAAGCCAGCGCAACAAGGTATCAATGAGCGTGGCGTCATTGCCCAACATAATAATATCATCCATATATACTAGTAAAAATACACGGGATGTACCAGCTGAGTAGTGGAACAGTGAAACATCTGTCTTGGACGGTGAAAAACCTGCAGTTAGTAAGAAATCATGTAGCCGCTTGAACCAGGCTCGTGGAGCTTGCTTAAGACCGTACAGAGAGCGCTGCAGATGGCACACGTGATCAGGATGTATCGGGTTCTCATACCCGGGTGATTGTTTCATATAGACTGTTTCGGCTAGGTGCCCGTTTAGAAAGGCGTTATGAACATCCAGTTGGCGCATAGTCCAGGATTTAGACATAACAAGAGAGAACAGCAGCCGGACTGTAGTTGGCTTGACAACGGGACTGAATGTGTCAAAGAAACCTTCACCTGCTACCTGATTAAACTCTTTTGCCATGAGACGAGCTTTGTACCGCTCTACCGCCCCGTCTGCGGTTCGTTTGGTCCGAAAAACCCATTTGCACCCAATGACATTCATGTTAGGCTCCGGTGGGACGAGCCGCCATGTATTGTTGTGTAATAGTGCGTTGAACTCTTGGTCCATAGCATCGCGCCACTGTGGATGCCCTACAGCCTGTGAATAACAAGTCGGATCAGTAGTCGCACTTAAGGCATGAAACTATTCGCCGGTGCCTCTTATCATGTGATGAAGGCGCATGACGTGCCCCCGTTTTTGTACAGCCCGCGTACTGCGAGCTGTGCCCGGCTGTGATTCAGCTGGCCCTGATAGTGGCAAAGGGGGAGGGGTCTTGAGCCAATGGTATGTGCTCCGGAGTGATTGAACTAGTGCCCGGACCGGGTGAGACCGCCTGGATGGGACGTGGGAGCGGTGGTACAATTGGGTCAGCTGCCCATGGTGCCGGAGTCTGCACCTGTTGTGTTTTATCCTGTATGTTTGAATCTGAGAAAGGAAAAATAGCTTCGTCAAAACGGACATGGCGACAGATCATGGTTGCAATAGGCGCTAGGCGCTAGTCGGGCGGTAGAGTAGTGCCTAGCGCCTAGACGGCCTAGGCGGGGCCTAAGCGGTCGCCTAGACAGCTAACTGAAAAAATGAAAAGCAGTGCACGTGTGTAGGTGCATATATGTCATATTATATATATATATATATATATATATATATATATATATATATATATATATATATATATATATATATATATATATATATATATATATATATATATATATATAGCAAGGTCAAGCCGGCCGGGTTAACTCGGCTAACTCGACAGAAATTGACGAGTAAACTCGGCGTAATCGGCCGAGTTAGGCGCTAGGCGGCCGAATTAGGCGCTAGGGCGGGCGCCTAGACTGCCGGTCTCTTAGGCGAGAGCCTAGGGGGGGAATCTCCACGGCCTAGGGGCGCCTAGCGCCTAGGCGCCAATTACTCGGTGCCTAGGCGGGATTTTTACAACCCTGCGACAGATATAGATTTTCCCATTCGTTAGGTCCATGCACCTATAGCACCTAAAGGACGGAGGGTAACATAGGAAGACACACGATGCCGAGCGGTACTCTATCTTGTGCCTATTATAAGGGCGAAGATAAGGGTGACACCGACACCCGAAGACCCGTAGGAATGTGTATGGAGGTGACACTTTGTAGAGACGTGTGTATGGGCTTTCAAACTTTAATGCTGATGAGGGTAGATAATTTATTAGACAAGTGGCTGTTTCAAAGGCATAGTCCCAGTATTGTAGGGGGACTGAGCCTTCGGCAAGCAGAGGCTAACCCGGTTTCAACAATGTGTCTGTTCCGGCGTTCAACCCTGCCATTTTGTTCGTGCGTGTACGCACATGATTGGCGATGAATAATGCCAAGGGATTTAAAAGTATTATGCAATTTGCGATACTCACCACCCAAGTCTGATTGGATAGACTTAATAGAACGCGAAAATTGGCGTTCTACCATGACACGGAACGACTCAAATATTTTATAGATATCTGATTTTACCCAAAGGGGATAAAACCAACAAAAATGGGAATAATCGTCTACAAAGAGTAAGAAATAACGAAAACCACAAGATGAAATTACAGGAGCCGGGCCCCAGATATCAGTGTATAATAAATCTAACACATGTGTACTAGACGAGATAACTCTATCTAAAGGAAATCTTGATGCTTTTCCATGTTGACACGACGTGCACGACCCTGCCGGCTTGGTTTTATTGGGTGCGACTGGACAGCTCTTTAGAATACGGTTTTGAACATAATCATGAGGGTGACTTAATCTGTGGTGCCATATGACGGGAGTGGTATGGGAACTAATAAACGCGAAGTGGGACAAAGACACCGGAAGCCTGTATAAACCACCCAAAGTGGGTCCCTTAAGCAGCACCGCCCTGGTGATGTAATTTTTCAAAACAAAGCAATTTTTATGAAATTCAAAATAAACATTGTTGTCATTAGCAAACCGCTGAACAGAAAGTAATGGAACTGACAGTTTAGGCACGCATAAAATATTAGACAATTGTAACGATTTTGACGGGGAGGGTATAACGCATGACCAACTCGTGAGATAACCAAACCTGTGCCGTTGCCCACTCGTAGGACATCGCTACCATTGTATTCATCAGACTATGACATCATCAAGGGGTCCAGTGTGGCATGCGCCGATGCCCTTATATCCGGGAACCATGCTGCCTAGGACGTGCTCGCTGCCGGCTCATCACTGACACCACCATATTCTCTTAAGCTGTAGGTTGCAGCGTGTAGCGCTTATAACAATATATAGCCGTGTGGCCTTGCGCACGGCAAATCTGACATGTGGGCACGTCGGATCGTCCACCGCCACCACGACCGCGGTTCTGGCCACCCCGATCGCGATTTTGACCACCTCGTCCATTCCGTTTGCCGAATCCCCCATCTCCATTGTTTCTCTAGCCACGCCCAGCATACATGGCTATCGGAGCGCTGCCAGAACCACCATCCGAACCCGCCGTAAAATCATCCGCCAAAATGAACTCCTGCGCCTGTAAGAAGTTTACTAGTTGTGGGATTGAGACGGGGATACCTGAGGCTGTAAGGGATGACGCCATGCTCCTGAACTCTGGACGTAGGCCTCTGAACACGAACAAATTCTGTTCGTCAAGGGAGATTGGCCTACCAGCCAATGCCAGATCTTCTACGAGCAGCTGCGCACGCCCAAGGTATTCAGCCGGCGTGTTGTTGCCCTGCCGGAGTGAGTGGAATTGGCCGAGCAAACTCAGGCAACGGGCACGGGTAGAACTACCCAGAGCTGCGGCGACGGAATCCCAGACCTCCCGCGATTTATTCTGGCCAACAGCCAGATACATGACCTCATTTGAAAGGGAAGAGATGAGGATGGATAGTATTGACTGATCCTGCTGGATCCAGGCTTTATGAGCCGGGTTTGCCGTCGATACTATCGTTGTTGCGGCGGAGGTAGATTCGTCGGAAGCGGGGGCAGCGTTAATCATCAGAGGTGGGCATGGCGTCTCGCCGTCAACATATCCGAGAAGCCCTTGCCCACGGAGGAACGACACGAGCTGCGTCCTCCAGAAGAGGAAGTTGCAGGCGGTCAGCTTGATTGATACAAAATGGTGCGCCGATGAAAGAGTGTTTGTTGCGGCGGTCGGAGAAGTGACGGGAGAGGCGGTGACTGTGCGTTCCGACGAGTTAGTTGACATGTTAGCCGTAGGGAAGAGAATGCGAAGGGTGAGGCTGATTGACAGTGAGGAGGAGGGGTGAGGAAAGAGAAACCTGGTCTATCTAATACCAGATGAGATAAGTGTTCTGTATTCAATTGACAATAGAATAGGAGATTACAATAGTAAAGGTAATTAGGTAATGTAAAGCATTCCTAACTATTAGGCTAGCCACAAGAGGCTTAACCATTTACAGCATTATTATAAAATATAACAAGATAATAATAATAATGAATGACCATATTACTAACACAGTTAAGGTCTTTCTTGTGTGCTAGTTCCTTAGTGTGTTGTTGTCATGAGAATAAAACATCAGTTTAGCCACACTAATATTGAGTTGTCGTGAGAATAAGACTCACTATGAAATTGGTATTCCCTTTGACGATCTTGCTAATCCATTACATAATCCCCAATCCCTAGACTATTGTTAACATCTTGAAGGTGTGCTGTGTGTGAAGACTTCCATGAGAGGCCCTATATGACAAAGGATCACAAAGAGGTGATCAGTCTAAGTTGTCCATAACTGACCTACTCAAACTAAAAAGATCAATAGCAACTTCCACGAAGAGCCGAACTTGAAACCTTGTGGTTATCATGTCAATTGTCCGACCGCCTTGACTGAAATGCCTCTACCACACCCTAAAAACTACACTTTCACTATGTTGGACGAATAATTTTATTTATTCTTTTCTAAAATTGTGCCGCGTAGCTTGTACAAAAACGAAACTTAAAGTTCTACTTGATTTTAAATTAACTTAATTCAGACCGATTAATTTTTGTTATTTAGCAATAATAAATAACAAAAAATAAATGTATAAAATAAATCAAGTACACGATAATTGATTACGCAATTCGGAGCGCTTCTCCTACGTTTGCGGGGCAAACCACGTCTGCCCAATCCACTATAGATGTTCACCGAGGGGTTTTACAAGAGGTCAGTACATCTGGCTATCAGCCTTTACTACCACTACAGCCTTCCTAACATCCACTCATGACTGGTACATGCATGCCGTGATGATCTTCAAGAGATGCTTCATCTAACCCAGGTACAGACATTGTAGCTCAGTAGAATTCCCACACAAATTAATTATAACAATCAGATTTAGAATGTAGCAATATATAGAATTTTAACTCTCTCAATTTAGCTTGTAAGAATTCGTGAATTTCCATAATGAGAAACCTTCCTTTTATAGCAATGTTCACTCCAACAGCTTGATCCACGTAAATAGCCCACCATTTGAATTAAACAACCACAACCACTCATAATTAAGAAATCCCCTTATAATTAGCTTTAACCAAATAAATATTCTGCTGACTTCCTCTCTAAATATAACCACCTATTATGAGCCATTCAAACAAATACCATATGATAGGAAATGGTCCAAGAGCTTAGCCTATCTTAGTTCTATTTATTATAAAAATAAATTGACCAACATAAGGTTTTAATGTGTACTAACTTTGTACACTTACAATCTCCCCCTTTGGCAATTTATTTGGCAAAAACTATAGCATTTTATACTTTGGGCAAACGAGAGAAAATAAATTAGTTTTATTAAAAGCCATTAGTATGTGTGCTAGACAATAACCTAAGATCATAAATAAATAAACAATTACCAAAGCTCTTTTGGACCATATTCCATCCCAGAATCCACAGTAGAAAGAACCAAACAAGCTGTATTGATAAAGAATCCAGTAGAACGCCAATACCCAGTAGTTAATAATAACTCAGATGATCCAAAAATAATAAAGAGATAGAAGAGCTAAATAAAATCTATTATTCCAAAAGAGAACTGCAAAACAGAGAGATACTTCATACTAGAGATTAGAGATTACCAAACAAAATCATAGTACCAACAGTCATGGCAGCATATCAACACCAGCAGACACTAATTCATTAAACCTTTTATTTGCTACTACTCCCCCTATCACATTTCCCCCCTTATGCCAACAAAACATTACCAAAACTCCCCCTTAATCCATACCCCCCCTTTTTTTTGCCAAATAAGTGACAAAAAAGAGTGGTGAACATCAACTGCGGATCGGTTTAGCGTGCCGACGAGGTGCCCGAAACTAAATCATCCTCATCTTCTTTAGTCCCAGTATCAGTAGCCGGTCATCAAACACATAGTGTTTCCATGCTCGATCACGACTTCATCTTTGTTTGGCTTGAACCCATGATGTTTTAGGACACCAAAAATCAATCTGGGATAAGGATGATGAATCTTGGCTTCCTTCTTTTTCACAAATGTCATGATGTGGGAAAATATTATTTCTCCATGATTGAAGGGCTGGCGATTGCGGATCTTATAGAGCAGAGTAGCAAGTTGCTTGGAGATAAAGTGTGGCCGAACGGCAGGAATCCAATTCGCGGAGGCAAGGCGGAGAAGCACAGAATAAACTGTAGTGAGTTTTAGACTCTTGAGACCAGTGCTAGGCCATGAAACCTCTCGGTTGTGGGTTAGGGCAGCTGCCAGGAGATGTGGGCTGGGATCAGGGACTTTCTGCTGTGTGGGTCTACCCAGGTACTCATTTATCTCCGTAGGACCAAACGGATACCATTTGTCCCGAATATACACTTGCTGAAAATGTGTGGAACCTATAGTGAATGTATCCATGGTTAAGTTTGTATAAAACTCAGCTGTCAACCAAGTTGAGTAGGGCCCAATATGCTGAAGAGAAGAAAGCAGATGTTGATCTTGTAGTATCGGAATGATATTGCACTTCTCGACCAGTTCCTCCACATTTATTGATTTTTCCAGAATCAAGTCCCTTTTCGCATGGACTCTCCATTAATCCATTAAGGCCGGTGATAGCAAAGAGGGTTGGTAGGTTTTCTTAGACCCCTTGGGCCGAGAGCTGGATGGAACCGAAACAGGTGGAGCTTTTGGAACAGTACCAGAGCGTGACCGTGTCATCCGTTGCGGGTGAGTGGACCCTCTTCGTTGTTGCTTAGTTTCAAAAGCAAACTCCACCTCATCAAGAGTGTCAATTTTTCGTTTCTCAGCAGTACCTGAAAAAGAGGCTTTGTCTTTCCCTTTACGGGAAGACTTTTCCAAGGGTACACAAATGCGGGAAAAGACTCATGGGTAGAAGACACGTGAAGAGGAACATGCTCAAACCTTGAATGGATTGCAAAAACAGACACACGAATAGTAAATGCAGCACAAGTCATAGGCAACTTAGGTACACTAACAAATTGAGCAACATTTCGAATTGAAAAGCTTGAAGGAATGGATTGCACATATTAAGACAAAGACACTAAATTTTCAGAGGCAGTAGCAGATACAAGATTTGCAGAAGCTAAGTTGTGAGTGGCTGGATCATAAGGATCTCCAAGAATAGGCAAAGAATGAACACACAATTTTTCATTAGGCAAAGAGGGTGCAAACTGCTCAGGCAAAGACAAATTAAAATCAAGCTTCCTAGATGTGGATAATGAGTTAGTATCCTCTAGAGAAGAAGGCAAAGGTAATACCACATTTTGCGAAGAAGAGGCAGGCGCGGTCTTGGCCGGTGGTGGAGCACACGCGGCAGTCACCGGAGGCACGGGCCACAGCACAACATCAATATTCCGGGCTAGAGCTTGAATCTGGCGAGTCTCCTTGGTTGTGAGACCCTCAAGAAGATTCGGATTTTGCATGATGGTGACTAGGGCTCGATCAGTATCATAAGAAGATAGAGGGGATTCAGCATCGATGATCTTACGATAAAGGTCAATCCTCTTTGATTTTGTGATGAATTTTGCTAAAGGATTCGCCATTTTAGAGCTTGACGAGGGGTGTTGATAAACATTATTTTTATTGTTATTTTAAATAATCTTTTTATAATTAATTTACAATAATTAATTAATTTATATCTATTTTTATTTATTATTGTGATTAGTAGCTTTGTTAATATTATTCAATTGTAGGTTGTTTTAATTAATAAATTTGTTTATTACTCGAATTATATATGTCCAATCACTCCTTGATCGTGATTATTATTATTATTATTATTATTATTATTATTATTATTATTATTATTATTATTATTATTATTATTATTATTATTGTTATTATTATTATTATTATTATTATTATTATTATTATTATTATTATTATTATTATTATTATTATTATTATTATTATTATTATTTTTAATATGTTAGTTTAGTTAATTGTCGGTTAGCCCATTATTTAAGGCCATCAAATAATCTTCTGCATTAATAACATCGACGAACGAGATCAAAGAGCCCTACGATTCTACGAAAACCAGAACTAGAACTCCAGCAGCAGCCCGGTCATCTGGGCGATCTGATTGAAGCGATGAGTGGAAGGAGAACCAATAACCGGAGCAATTGTAGTGTGAAAGATTGGACGAAGCGGTTGAGCTGAGGATTATAAATAGAGGGCAAAAGACATCAAGTCGATCATCAAATTCACTCCGGACCGATTCTGGTTCCGCGCCAGCGTCGTTTTGTTCAGCGGCAACCGTTTCTGGTGTTCGGCGGTGGAGCGGCAGTTTTCGGTGATCCACAGTAGATTACGATCGGCGACGTTGGTGGTTTTTTTGATCGACAGCTCCAAATTAAATTCTCGGCGATGGGTGCAGCAACTTGAATTCTAGCCTCAGCAAGTTTGGTTTTGACTTTGAGTAGCAGTTTCCACATGTCAGCTTCAATTTTGCAATTCTAACAATTAATCACGACAATTCTTTTTCCCTTTCTTTATTCTTTATTCTTTATTGTTCATTGCAATATTATTTAGTGTATATGCTATTTCTTCAATTTTCAAGTTTCAATTTGTTAATTCCTCAATCCTCACACACTAGAGGCTGTCTACTACAGGCCTGGATTTTAGAGTCAATTTGCAGCTTTATTATATTTGCATTGCTTTATTATTTTTGCTTTTATCTATTAAGCTTTATTATATTTACTTTTAAGGGATGATATTAAAATGCTTGGCTAAATTCATGTTCCTAGAATTTTATTACTCTGTTACATA